AAGTAACTAAGTAATTAATTACTTTTGAAAATAAGTAATCAGTAAAGTAATGGGATTACTTTTTTGGGGGAAGTAATCAGTAATTAGTTACTGATTACTTTTAGTAATTTAGTAACTTGCCCACCCCTGGTGTAACAGGTCTGAGCTGCTGAGTGCTTTTTCGTCATTCAGCTCTTTCCACTCTCTGTGTTTATCCACCACTCTGCATTTAATCATTACTCAAGCATCATCTTCCACAACGTGTCTTTTCTCCCTCTGTGAAAAGACACGTTGATTGCCGAGAAAATGTTTACCTTCTCCTCCATAATGGTGACCACATCAGGTAGACCACCAACCACTCTACCACGGTCTGAACAGAAAAAGAAAAAGTCACTTTTCACTCCCAGACTTAGAAATCACAGATCTTAAAACTACAGCAATCTGTCTTTTTACATTTATTGTGCAGTGTTGTTATTGTGCACTAGTAGATCAAGTCTGAGATGTTCAGGGGGAGGAAGAATGAGTAAGACATTCATTTCTACTTTGCCTTTAAAATAAAATACCTTGCCCACAAATTCCTGTGAAAATGTTCAGAATGCTTAAAGAGCTGTCGAGAGCACTCGTGATTATCAATTTTTCGTCCTTGTAAGATATGCGCTTAGTATAAACAGCTTAAAAAATAATTAATCAATGTACCTTTATTGAAAGATACATGAGGAATCTCTCTCAAACAGTCTCAATACAAGTTGTGAAATACTCACTCTTCTCAGCGAATGCAGCCGCTCTAAAAGACGAAGAGGAAATTCGATTTGATTAAAATTGGACATGATTAAAACCGCATGTCTACAAACTTGTAACATCAAAACACTTACTTAAGTCTTAGGTACTCCTCATAGGCATCTGTATATGCTACAAAACAAATGATTACAATGGAGTCAATTTTTCAAAGACAAAAGGTTTCACATCTTAGAAACTCCAAAATAAACAAATAAATGAGACAATCACAGCAAAAGAGAAAAACTGTAATGAAAACAAATGGTGGCACAGATGGAGGTTTTTACCTTGTCCAGAGAGGTCAAAAGTCCGGGTGTGGGTCTTGACGCCATCTGAGATCTCCATGGAGTAATGACCCTTCTCCTTATCGGACGGATCACAGATCTGCATCCAGGCCATCTCAGCTGTACCGCCAATCCTCATCTTCTCAGAGGAGGCAATCTTACTCTCCCTGCGGGTTTACATCATGGATCTCAAAACTTAGTTATTAACTCATACAGAGTGAAAAAACCAACAGGCTGCTTTCAAATGTGAGATATAGTGACTCTAAGGCATAATGTCTGTGTGCTTTTACACCCCTTTAAAAACTAGCAGTGCTTTTCTACAATATTAAACACTCCTGATCAAAGTTGGACACAAACAACCCCCACAAGTGACACATTTGCATGACATCTCCTTTTTCTAACTGAGCCGTCCACAGAACTACTCAAAACATCTGTGTTTGAAGTGTTTCATAGAAAATTTGTTTCAAAAGATGTTATGATTCAATTCTGTATTACATGCAGCAGCCTGGGTAAGCTCACAGACTGCCTATAAGTGTCTGTGAATAGTGAACTTTTGTTCCATATAAACAGTAAAACAAAATATCTCAAAAAGTAAAATAGCTAAACCTTAAAATGATAAACTAAAAAGAGAAATTTGAATAATCTAAAATATTTAAATTCACAACTGTACTTGTGCTTCCAGACGGTTTTCATCTCCTCTGTATAGTAGTTCATGTAGCACTGCAGTCTGATGCCCTCTGGAGTACACTGCAGCACCAGCTCAGAAGCAGATGCACCTAAAGACACAAAGACAACCACCAAGAAACGCACAGGCACCAACAACAGGGAAATGACTTCAGAAGGTCATCACAGCCTCATCTCTTAGCCAAAGCAGACTTAATGTAAATTTGTGTATTTAGAGAAAAGCTGGGGTTCTCATAATTGTTTCCAGGTTAACATGTACACGTATTTTATCC